GCAGAACACGGTATGATCACTTCACGAAGATTGATCTCTCAATGATGTTCTATTGCTTTGAATTGGATGAAGAGAGCCAAAAGATTTGCACTCTCACMACAACACACGGCAACTACAGATGCTTACGATTGCCTATGGGTCTCAAGTCATCTCCAGACTATGCTCAAGCATTCATCACCAGAATCTTGTTCAATCTYGATGTTGAAGTCTATATCGATGATATGGGAATTTGGTCTCGTGGACCCTTTCATGGACACCTTTCTTTGGTTGACCCAGTCCTGGCAAGAATAGCATCCAATGGAATGAAATGCAACCCACTCAAATGTGAATGGGCGGTGAAGGAATCAGATTTCCTTGGATATTGGCTTACCCCGACCGGTGTTAAGCCATGGCAGAAGAAAGTAGATGGGATTCTAAAGATGGGAATTCCCAAAAACCAATCACAGATCAGGTCTTTCCTGGGTGCCGTGAATTATTACAAATCCATGTGGCCTCGGCGCTCACATGTACTGGCCCCATTAACATCCCTCACTGGCTCTGGACCTTACACATGGACTCCAGAGTGTAATYGATCCTTTCAGGAGATGAAAGCTCTCCTTGCACATGATGCTATCAACACCTTTGCCAACTTGGAAGAACCCTTTCATATTTACACCGACGTGTCTGATTATCAGCTCGGTGCAGCAATACTCMAGAACGACAKACCAATTGCCTAYTGGTCAAAGAAGCTAAACAAAACCCAGATGAATTACACCACAATSGAAAAAGAGCTATTGGCCGTCATCCTTTGTCTCAAAGAGYACAGAAATATGTTATACGGTGGCCGTATCAACATTTACACTGACCACAAGAATCTCATCTTCCGGACCCTGTCCCAGTCCCGGGTCCTCAGATGGAAGCTATCCTTAGAGGGATTTGACATCACCTGGAAATACATTCCAGGCAAAAAGAATGTTCTAGCAGATTGTTTCTCCAGAGTGCCCAGAATGAATCCGGCCACTGTGGGGGATAAAGAAAAGAAAATATATGAGCAAAACAAAGGAACAGTGGTGAATTTCAAAGCGTTAACAGCTCAGGTGGATCCGGAAGACATCTTCTATTTGKAGTCAGAACTATATGAATGCTTGCTCAACTTACMACCAGTATCAGAGATGGAGAATCCAATAACAAACGCAAGCCTTTAYACTTATCAGCTTACGGACCCACAGTGTCAACACMTACTTGAAACTGATCCAACACATTATGTAAAAAGAAGGATAGGCACCTTTGAACTACTCACGGTGTCCACAAATGACAACAATAATTTGAAGATCTACTTGCCCGACGGCTTGGTAGACAAGACTTTAAGATGGTACCACCTCCTATTGGGACACTGTGGTAGCACAAGGCTTTATGAAACCATCAGCGCCAGATTCTATGCCCCAAGACTCAGTACATTGCAAACAATACCAGTGTCCGGATAAGTGCCATCTATTCAAGCAGCAGGGACAGGGACATGGTTTATTACCAGCTCGCAAGGCTCAGCTTGTCCCTTGGAATGAAGTATGTGTGGACTTGATAGGTCCTTGGAAAATCCTTCTTCCAGATGAAACAGAATTAGTGATCAATGCACTTACCTGCATCGATCCAGTCACTAACCTATTGGAAATCATCAGAATCAACAACAAATCAAGTGAGCACGTAGCAGAGCAGTTTTCAAATTGCTGGTTGTCACGATATCCAAGACCCAACAGGTGCGTCCATGATAATGGCAAAGAATTCATAGGAAGCTCATTCAAACAGTTACTGAATCAGTATGGAATTAAGAGTGTCCAGACAACGGTCAAGAATCCACAAGCAAATGCAGTTTGTGAGAGAGTCCATCAGACAATTGCTAATGTTCTACGAGCTACCCTTCATAGCAAGCCCCTTGAGGAAGCTGACTTTGATGAAGATCAACTGATTGACAACGCACTTGCTTCTGCAATGCATGCTACCAGATGTGCCGTGAATGCAGCAGTGAAGACCTCACCAGGAGCTTTGGTTTTCAACAGAGATATKGTAATGGATATCCCACTCATTGCTGATTTGAATCTTATCAGAAACAAACGACAACACCA